TCTGCCAACTACTTCAACCTGCCCCCAAGTGGCCCTCCAGCAGTGGTGAACATTGCCTTGCCCCCACCCCCTGGAATCGCCCCACCCCCACCCCCAGGTAATTGCCTTCTTCCTTCCTGACCCAGAGAAGTCCTTGTAAAAGTTCTGCACCTGAGTTGAGTCTCAGACAGCTGGGTTCTTTGTGCTTGCTCTGGGACTTGGAGAAGAAAGGCACCACTCTAAACCTGGGCATAGGTATCGTAGAGTAGAGTTAATGCATAACAGCCATCTACCACCAGTCTGTTTCGCATTGTAAATTTTGTACTGACACCTTACCTGTCCACAGCAAGATGTGGGCCTTGTATCACAATGGGAATCAGTAAACACTGTTTTCATTTAAAAAAAAAAAAAAAAGAAAAAGAAAAACCTTGCTACAAAGAGAAGAGACTGTCATGTGAATTGGTTACGGACTTGAGTTACATTTGGGCTCATTCTTTATCATGTCAGTTCAGGAGAGCAGTAGTGCTGTGTGACTGTCCATGACAGTGTGAACAATGTAGGAATAGTGGGTGGCTGGTGTTCTTTTGATGAGGAGCCTGTATGTTTGAAGAAAGTCTTTCCATTCTGGAGTCAAGCATTGAGGCTAATGATGACAGAAGGGATCTTGGCATCAACCTGGTTTCTTTCTGGTCGCCCACATGCTGATTGACTCCTGTCTGGTGGGATTTGCTATGTTTGATTAGTAACAGACAGTTGGGTCTGAAGTTTTTTGAGCTGAGAGGAAAAATCAAGGAATATAGGTAGATATTCCTAAGCAAGGACTGTGCTCTGCCATTAACATTATGTCAGCCTTGATGTATATGTAGGTGGTTTTGATCTTAGAAAGATTCAGGGGTTTGGAAGGTTGTCAAGGGAACTGCAAGTTTTAATTTTTTTCTCTTCCACATCAGGTTTTGGACCACATATGTTCCACCCAATGGGACCGCCGCCTCCTTTCATGAGGGCTCCCGGACCAATCCACTACCCATCTCAGGACCCTCAAAGGATGGGAGCTCATGCTGGAAAACACAGCAGCCCCTAGCACAGCAACACCACTCGGGCTCTGAGGAAGAAAGGGCGCTTTAAAATCCCAGTAAATGACTCCTGGGATCAGTATAATTTCCTTTGCTTTGTAGTTTCCATGGTAGCTGAATGTGTTCAGATGTGGGCAGCCAGAGAACACAGCTATGCTTCCCACATGTATGAGAGGATCAGCGGGCCCAAAACAAGCTGCCATGAACACAGCTGCTTACCACTATAGCAGTACTAAGATAGCCTATGTCTGTTCCCTTCCACCTTGTGAGGGACATGCACATGGGCAAATCGGAGTAACTAATGGAGTTACTATCCCAATATGTTCATTTTGTATCTTTTTGGGTGGGAGGCAAAAATTGACCTGAGGTTTGGAAAAAAAGCCTTTTGACCATTTTTATGTCTATTTGGTATTTTCTTTTTTATCATCTAAAAAAATTTAGTACTAATCATTGTAGTGGCGTAAATGTGATTTAACTAATTTGAAGTCATACCCCTCAGAGAGACAAGCAGAGACCAGAATTCAGCACAGCCGATATTTTCTTTGCTTTTAAAACTTCATACGTTACTAAAGGAGTCAGCTGATAATTTTACTTCTCCACACTGTCAGAAAAAGACAAAAATAAAAACTTGCATTTTATTCCTATTGGGTAGAAACCCAAATTTTATGGCGCTGCATATCATTGATGAAACCTGGTACCTGAGATGAAATGGTTTTAATGAACTTGGTGTAAAACACTTCAACAAACTGAAAGGAAGAGACTTGGAGTGCATTTGCCCGGAGACTGGCCCCTGCAGCTGGAACATGCATCTTCAGCATTCACCTGTGTGTCTTCAGCGGCTCGTCATTCGCTGCCTCTGGGCAGGAGACTGTTCAGTCTTAGGCTGTTTGGATTTAACTGAATTGTAGATGGTAAGGGAAATTTGATGTTGTATTGTATTTTTTGTTTTTAAATAATTAAAACGGGTCAATTTTCCAAATGTTCCTGGATTTCTGTTTCTTTTACCTTTGGTATTGAACTTGAAATTGGTAAAAGAGACAAATTATATGCATGTGAATTTTTAAATCTTTAGACGTGATTTTTCTTTGGTGGCAGTAGGTGGGCGGCATGCAGTTTGAGATAATCTCCATCGAGCTCAGGCTAGTCTTTCTTATCAACCCCTTGAGTACTGGGATTACAGGCCTCTGTCACATCAAGGGTTTTTTTGCCCATTCCATGATGGTAAAAATACTCAGCCTTTTTAATACTAAGAAGTTGGTAGTAGGGTTGAAATAAGAACAGACAGAAAGCTGAGTGTGGTGGTGCACGCCTTTAATCTTAGCACTCGGGGGACAGAAGCAGGCAGATCTCTATGAGTTTGAGGCCAGCCAGGGCTACATAGTGATTTCTAAGACAACAAGACATAGTGAGACCCTGTCAAAAAAAAAAAAAAATTTATAGAGTCTTGTCTAAGGCTTTTGATATGGTAATTTCGAGTGTGTTCTTACACAAGCCACCATAAGGGAAACAACACAATCTAAAATATGTTTGATGCCATTTTATTAGCTAAAGTCTATACTTCAGAGCTTACATGTGTGACTTGTAAAACAAGAATTAGGCAATTTCCCCCTTTTCCAGTCGCCCAGGTGCCCAGCTAACTGGACAGTGTCACCCACATTACAGACAGGTCTTCACCTGATTCACTGAACTGCACCCGAGGCTTCTCTGAAAGCCGCTCACAGGAACACCCAGAAGCATCTGTCCGGGTTCTGTGAGCTTCCCTCTGTAGCCACGCTGACTGAGATGAGCCAGCGCGTGACTTGTTTGCCATTGCTGCTAGAAAGTGTTGCTAGTAATAGTTACAAGCTGCTTTTCATTCTTTGTGTTTTTTCCCATACTTCCCGTCTTTTTTTTATACATTTTTTTATTGGTATTTATTGAGCTTTACATTTTTCTCTGCTCCCTTCCCTGCCTCTCCTTCTCCCTTCAATCCTCCCCCAAGGACCCCATGCTCCCATTTTACTCAGGAGATCTTGTCTTTTTTCTACTTTCTACTTCGCATGTAGATTAGATCCCTGTAAGTCTCTCGTAGTGTCCTCATTGTTGTCTAGGTTCTCTGGGGTTGTGGTTTGTGGCTGGTTTTCTTTGCTTTATGTTTAAAAACCACCTATGAGTGAGTTCATGTGATAATTGTCTTTCTGTGTCTGAGTTACCTCACTCAAAATAATGTTTTCTAGTTCCATCCATTTTCCTGCAAAATTCAAGATGTCGTTTTTTGTTTTTTGTTTTTTTTTTTCTGCAGTGTAGTACTCCATTGTGTAAATGGACCACATTTTTCTTATCCATTCTTCAATTGAGGGGCATTTAGGTTTCCAGGTTCTGGCTATGACAAACAAAGCTGCTATGAACATAGTTGAGCACATGTCCTTGTGGCACGATTGAGCATCCTTTGGATATATACCCCAAAGTAGTATTACTGGGTCTTGAGGAAGGTTGTTTCCTCATTTTCTGAGAAATCACCACACTGACATCCAAAGGGGCTGTACCAGCTTGCACTCCCACCAGCAATGCAGAAGTGTTCCCTTTTCCCCACAGCCTCTCCAGCATAAATTGTCAACAGTGTTTTTGATTTTGGCCATTCTTACAGGTGTAAGATGGAATTTCAGAGTTGTTTTGATTTGCATTTCTCTGGTAACTAAGGATGTTGAACATTTCCTCAAATGTTTTTCAGCCATTTTAGATTCCTCTGTTGAGAGTTCTCTGTTTAGGCCTGTACTCCATTTTTTTTTATTGGATTATATGATCTTTTGATGTCCAATTTCTTGAGTTCTTTGTATATTTTGGAGATCAGACCTCTGTCTGATGTGGGGTTAGTGAAGACCTTTTCCCATTCTGTAGGCTGTCATTTTGTCTGGTTGACTGTGTCCTTTGCTTTACAGAAGCTTTTCAGTTCCAGGAGTCCCATTTATTAATTGTTTTTCTCAGTGTCTGTGCTGCTGGGGTTATATTTAGGAAGTGGTCTCCTGTACCAATGCATTCAAGTGTACTTCCCACTTTCTCTTTTATAAGGTTCAGTGTGGCTGGCTTTATGTTGAGTCTTTGATCTATTTGGACTTGAGTTTTGTGCATGGTGATAGATATGGGTCTATTTTCATTTTTCTACATGTTGATATCCAATTATGCCAGCACCACTTGGTAAAATGCTTTCTTTTTTCCATTTGATATTTTTTGCTTCTTTATCAAAGATCAGGTGTTCGAAGATGTGTGGATTGATATCCGGGTCTTCTATTCGGTTCCATTGGTCCTCCTGTCTGTTCTTATGCCAATACCAGGATGTTTTCAGTACTGTAGCTCTGTAGTAGAGTTTGAAGTCAGGGACTGTGATGCCTCCAGATACTTTTCGTCTTTTATACCACTGGAATACATGTGGGAACTTGTGGCTTATTGTAATGAATTTGTCTGTAATATGAATTTATTTAGCTTTTTCAAATTTTTGGTGGGTCTGGGGACCAAAAGTAACTTTTTTTTAAAAGAAGCGATCATTTTAATGGAATATATACAGAAAAGTGCATAAAATGCAGGTGTACAACCAACTTAAACTGTTTTAAAGTAGACATCTGTGTAGCAGCCAGCCAGGTCTAGAAATAGAGACCTTCCAATCACTCAAATCCACAAACCCTTCCCTCCAGAGTCACCACTATTTTATGTTGTTTCTTTGCATAGTAGCCATAAGGGTGTTTGTTTGGCTTGCCTTGCTCACCACTCTGCTTCTGAGAGGTACCTGTGTGGCTACATCTAACTACTAGTTCATGATCATTGCTGCCAACTCCGTCTGGCTTCTCAATGTTGTGTTGGCTAGTCTTGGTACTTTATATAAAGAAAAGCAGACAAAATTAGAGGTTTGTATGAAGGACTTGCTAGGTTCCCAAATTACTTTATTTGCTTTTTCAGGATCCAAAATGTCCTTATTGAACACCAGCACACGTAGTATGGTTCCATTAAAGACCAGTGGTTTGCCTGTGGTCTGCAGGGATGGAACAGAATACAGGAGTAGCAAAGTACATGGGTGTGCATGGGAGGGGCCATACCGAACAGACAGTGGTCATATTAAGTAGCAAAATTGACAGAAGAAGGGATAAGAACCTGCTTTAGAGTACAAGACCCCGCCCTCCTAGGGTCTCTTCTGCATTGTCAGGTCTCCTTCCAGGGAGCCTCACAAACAAGCAGAGTCCTCCTCCTTTCCAGGTGGTCTATAGATTATAGAAACTTGGCTTTGAATGACAGTCCCAAATCTAAGAAAAACACCAACTGCACGGAATTCCAAGATTCAGGCTACTGGTTCCCTGGAACCAGGAAGGGGAGGAAAACTCCACAGAGCAAAGAAAAGTACAGCCTGGTTAGGGGTTCCTGCCAGAGGGGACCTTACACACTCAGCTTCACACTGACCTGGAACCCTGCATCCGCACAGCCTGCTTTATAAATGGCATCCAATGGGTGCGGGCCCTGGGACTGTCCTGTATTGTGCTCCCAAGCCCTGCAGAAGACCTACATTTGTGTTTGCCTTAGAGATAGAGAAGCAGAGGCTCAGTGGGAAATGGCTTCCCCAAGTTCATGCCACTCAGAGTAAATCAAAGCCCATCTAATGGGGTGCCCCCAATCCCCACAATCACTTAAACTCTAAATCACAAGACACGACACTGTTCCACAATGTTCCAGAATGAGTAGGCATCAACTCGGCTAGAGAAATGGGTGGAATCCTTGATGGGCCCTGATTCCTCCACCCTACTCTGCTCCAGACAACTCATTTCCCTTTAGAGACTGGATATCCACATCTGTAGGACAGGATGGAGAGAACCACCAAGACCCTTTCAAACATCGCTATCAGGAGTGGCATCCTCATCGCTTGAACTAGGATCTGTTCAGCAGGGAGGATGGGAAGGTGTAAGTTCCCCTTTGTTCTGTAAAGGGTGTCACTGGCTGAGCCCCTTTTTTTCTTCCCTCCTCTTCTAAGCCTTGCCCCTTGTGAACTTCCTGCTCTCCAGCCTCGCTCCAGGGCCCCACACAGTGAGGCCACCACTAGCCTTTTCTTCCTTTACACAACAGAGCCACTGTCTCACTCCATCACAGCATCTCCCGTCTCCAGAACATCTTCCCTCTTCAATTCCCACCTCAACACATGCCAAAAAGCACCCTCTTGTCACTCCTTTCCTTGGTGGGCTCCCATTCCTTCTCTGAGATCTGGCTCAAGTCCTCTGGGAAGTTTCTGAAATCCCACCTACCCACCCAGGGTTCTTCTGTTCCATGACCCTTGGCTCTCAGCTGTCAGGATTCAACTGCCTTACAGATCTCGTCCCTATCATATCCTCTCAAGACCTTGGCCTGCCACGGTCTAGCACGGAACAGATGTTTCAGATACACTGAGAACATGTGCAGACGAGAGCCAGCTGTGTCAGTGGGAAGTCATGGGGTGCACATCGGCTAATCAACACTTGGGAGAGGGAGGCAGAAGTATCAGGAGTTTTAAGGTTGTCCTCAGCTACAGCTCATAGCCAGCCTTAGTTACAACATTTTTGTTTTTGTTTTGTTTTTGTTTGTTGTAAAGCTAGACTCTTATGTAGCCCAGACTGGCCTTAAAAATTTACTATCTAGTCAAGGATGACCCAGACTTTCAGTCCTTCTACCTCTATCTCCCAAGTGATTTCAGGCATACCCACTATGCCTGATTTACGTGGTGCTAAAGATCAAACCCAGGACTCTGTGCGTGTTAGACAAACATCCTACAAACAGCTGCCTTCCCAAGTTGCTCCTTCCTAATGGAACAGTCCACATTTAGATGGCCTATTCCTGAGCCTTCTGTCATCAGGTGAGTGACAGCTGCTGGGGCCAGGCAGAACAGGCTTGGGTATAGCTTCCTAGAGACACTCCATAGGCAACTTACACAGGCCACCTGGAGTGCCTGATACTAACACCTATCACAGGCAGTTCTGAGGCTGTGAGTCTAGAGCAGGTCCTGAATCCACATTAGATCCAATGGTTTGATGCATATCTGCTTTGAGGACTAAGGAACCCAGTGACCTTTGAAGTGCTATATTTAATGATGTTCACTGTGTGAATGAAGTCAGTCTGGCATGCTCACTTTGTAACCCTAGTGCTTGGAAGCTGAGGCAAGACCAGCCTGGGCTACACGTTAAGTTCCAGGCCAATCTAGGCTACAGGGCGAGATCCTGTCTCAGAGAGAGGAGGGAGAGAAAACTAAGAAAAAAGAAAAAGGGAAGGGAAGAAAGGAGAAAGATAAGAAAGCAAGCAGGAGTCAAGATGAACATGATGGAGCCCAGGGATTTGGAGCTTCAGGTTGAGGCTACAGCTCCTCAGACTCAGGGAGCTTCCGGACCCAGCCCTGAGCAACCCTGTTGAAACTCGGTCTGAGGCGGAGGAGTTCCAAGCCACTGAAAGGCTCCGGGGCAAAGGGGAGGCCTGCTTGGAAAACAGTCTCCCCAACATGGGGTCCTCCAAATGGCACTGGGGTCCTGGAAAAGAGAAACAGGAAAGATGGGCTATGTGAAAGAGGGGTAACAGATGTGCTCACACCCAGCCTCTCTTGAGGCCTCGGTTTCCCCTTTTAGGCAGCAAAGATCTATACTATCATTAACTGGTCCTTGTTGAAGTAAGTGGGAAGTTTCTAGAAGTGGCCTAGGCAAAGTTCTAGGCTCCCCTCCAGTCAGTGCCAGAAGGGAACAACACTGGAAGGTGGATTTCTCTTTCTCACTTTCCATTAAGACAAAATACCCACAACCCAGAGGACAGCTGACTTCAAGAAGGAGCAAAATGCCAGTGACAAGGAGAGCCCAGCCCTTCTCCCACACACAAGCTGCCAAGGGTGAGAATTCTAAAGCTAAGGAAGAGGCAGGGACGAGCTTCACATCATCTGCTGCCTTGGCTTGTGGGTAAATCGGTGCTTTTGCCTCCGAGGACAAATTAGCATAATCGTTTTTAACCTGAAAATATGTAAACTGTCACCCAGCAACTCTGTTTCTAAGCATATGGCTGGGGGAGGCTCCTGCATGCTCGCGTGAAGAAGCAGACAGCAAGGCATGAACAAGCGGGAAGTAGCCCTGCACCCTCTGATGTAGGGACACGAGCCAGCGAAGCGCAGAAACTCAAGGGAAAGGGAATCGTCTGTATGGGAGAGATAGGTTCCAAAAGCACAGTGGTGAGTGACAAAAAGCACGCTACAAAATGAAAGTATTCATATACACAGCAGTGCGCACACCCTCTGGTAAGTGGTGGTCAGTACAAATGATGTGGGATCATAGGACATCCTGACAACCACCGGTGTTACCACCGCAAAGGAATCGGGTGGGAGAGTGGCCAACAAAGAGATCCTGTCTTTGCTTGAGGGTCATGTCCACCCGGGACTCTCCCAGATGTCCGTGCGTCTGTCCCTGTGCTCTCCCTCATGTCTGCAATAAACTTTCCCCACCGCACCTAGAAGCAGCTATGCACCTTTCCTGTCCTTTTTTATTCTATTTTTTTTTTTTCATTTATCTGGTGCAGAAACCCGGGGAAGCCATGTTTCCTTCTCCTCTTTTCTCATTCACAGCTGCCTAATGCTGTATGTATTTTAAGCCTTTTGCTGGGAGAGAGCCATACTAGGTATTGACCATGGGGCCTCATGCATGCTAGGCAAGTGCTCAATCCCTCAATTGCACCCATTTTTATTTTAAGAAATACATGCCAGGCAGGGGTGACGCACGCCTTTAATCCCAGCATTCAGGAGGCAAAGACAGGTGGATCTCTGAGTTTGAAGCCAGCATGGTCTACGGAGTGAGTTCCAGAACAGCCAGGACTACACAGAGAAACCCTATCTCAAACAACAACAAAAGAATACAGAAAGCAGTATTCTGGTAGTTCCCCGGCAAGGGGGACTAGGTTCGCCTCTGGGTGGAATTGCAAACCTTGGCTAGGGTCGGGGATCCTGCCAGGGCAGTCCTACTGCTAGGCTACCCAAGCTTCGCCGGCAACAACTAAACCCTTTCTGGGGCAGGCTGGGCAATGTCTGAGCCCAAAAGGCTTCACGGCCATGACTGGGAGTCCAGAGTCCTGGCCTGGGCCCTGCCTGTCCACTAGAGAGCGAGCAAGTGGTCGGGCAGCAGTGAGGACCTCGGAGGGACAGCACTTCTGCTTGGTAGAGAGCTAAGGCTCTCACACTCATCTGCCCGGTCCTCCAGCCAGTGCCCTCCTTACCTAGTCAGCCGTTTAGAGCGGTCAAGTCCCTCTCTGTGTATTCTCAAGGACCCCATCCTTCCATCCTTTCTTTCCCTAGGCCCTCCCACACAGTGCCTGTCTCTCAGACAATCTTCGTGTGTGGTCTCAGCAGGTACCAAGACTGCTGACTGGCTGGCCGGCTCTCTGAACCCTTCTTGTTCTCATTCAGAGCTGCCTAGATCGGAGCACCACGTTCAGAAGCAGCATCGAGACAGAAAAGACAACCAGCTGGTGCCCCTCTGCAGATCCGCCGCCATCTGGGACTCCGGCTCTGCTTGCAGGTTCCCAGGGCGGAGTTCCTCCCGTTTCTGCCTCATTCTCCCATCCGCTTTCCCCATCATTTCTGCCTGTAAGCAGCAATCGCAGTAGCAACAATCGCAGTCGCAGCCCTAAGAAGCAGCTGGCTCCTCGTCCCACAGAACCTTCGGCTAGGACCTCTCACGTTATCTCCGCAGCAGCCTTACATACTGGGGAATGCTGCATTTTGCAGGCGGAACAACAGAGGTGCCGAGAGGTTAAGTTACTTGTCCAAGGCCGCACAGCCAGGTCTGGAGTCCGCATCTAAGTATGCATTAAAGCCATGCACTAAACCAGTATAGGGCACTTCCTCAGCGGCCCCCAACTCATGCTATTTTCCACTTTCCACGGCCTCAAAGCCACCTTCTAGGCCTTTTCCATAGTACTGGGGAAAGAAAAAGCAGGATAAGCCCAGAACCGGTGAGATCTGGAGGTGTCCCCAGGGAAGGACAGATTTGAGTTTTTGTTCCAGAGCTGAAAGGAGAGCAAGACAACCCAGACTTCTGGGACTTGAGGCCCAGCGCTGCCCCTTCCTCTGGGGTCTTCTGTGCTGAGCAGGCTGTTCATATGCCTGAGTGTGGTCTTTATAGAATGAGGGGAATCGGGTGCTTGCAGCAACATGTAACAGAGGTGCGACATGTTCACCTTACACACACACACACACACACACACACACACACACACACACACACACTTATTGAGTACCTAACAGGGGTGAGGCAGTGTTCTAGCAAGATCTCGGTAAACATCTGTAACGTGCTAGTGTTACTGCCAGTAAGCAAAAAGTACTCGGCCTCCCCACCCGTTATGTCCCACGCAGCCTGGCTTTACTTGTTGAAGTTGCGATAGTCGCGAACAATGGGGGTGATGCTGCCACTCGGGTAGTCTCGGTAGCTGACGAACTCCTGCCATGGACAACTGTACCCTTTGGGGATGGCGGTGTGGTTGAACTTCTCGGGCGGGATGCCCTTCAGCGGTTCTGCATAGCCTGTGGGTGGAGTGTTGCTGGTGACAGGCACTGCCAGGGCTCCACCATCACCCCCACTCCTACCCCGCGGGCGAGAAAAGCCAGGGCAGGGAAGAGGAGTCAAGAGAGCGGAGATAGGGGTGGGGTATGTGAGCTTCCGATCCCAGGACGCCGGGAGGGCTGCAACAGTGGGATTCAGCCTGCCCTGAGAAAGGGATTCGCTGTGTAAATAACCTGGGGAATTTGTTGCGATTCTTTGAGCCATCGGTGCCCCAGGACACAGGGCAGCAGCTCACCTGGTGCCAGGGCACTTGGACTACGGACCGAGTCAACACCAGTCACTCCCGGGTGGGCCATGCTGGGGTCCCCCAGTGACTCCCGGGAAACGTGGAGCTCCGAGCCATGGTTCTGCTCCGAGCCGTGGTTCTGCTCCTCCGGGCCATTGAGAACCTGAGCACAGGGGCGAGCACTCAGAAGCAATGGCCAGCCGCTCTTTGGTCGCCCGTCCCTTCCCGTAGCTGTCCCTTGGGAAAGGGGTCACTCCTCACCGTAGTAACCTGCGCTGCTCTGCCAGCCACTTTTCCTCGGGCACTTCCCGCCAGGATCTGTTGGGGGGAAATAAACAGGTAGGGACGCTCTGCTAAGCAAGAGGCCAGGATTTTACTACCACCACCTGAGGAATGTGGAGGGAGAACGTAGGGTGTGGGGTGGGGAGGGGAGCTTGGGAATGCAGATGGTTTACAGGGATGCCCCAATGCCTGTGATACTGGAATATTAATAGCACTCATTGCTACTGTAAATCTAGTCAGAATAAAACACTCTTGAGCCTCAGTTCCCTTCTGAGGGTGGCTGTAGTGGTGGGGGTGACTGTGGTAGCAGTGGGGGGGGCAGTGATGGTGGTGATGTTGGTGGTGGGGGGTGATGGTATACTCATGGTATGATAATGGTGACATATTCTCCTCACACCTGTAGAGCCCTTTCTTAGCAAGCACTATCTCAGGCACCTGACAAAGGTGGCCATCTTGCCATCTCTCTCCTCCTCCCTCTTCCCCACTCAAGTAAGGTCCAGAAATTGAGTGATAAAGGGAGAAATGCCCCAGACTTGTTTAGTATTTTCCAAAATTATCCACCACCAGCAAACCATTCTTTTGTTGTATTTTGAGGTAGGATTACTTATGTAGCCCAGGTTGGGTTTGAACTTGCTCTGTAGCCAAGGACAGCCTTGAAACCCTGATCCCCTGTTTCCACCTCTCAGATGCCAGGATTACAGGTGTGTAGCATGCTGGTTTTGTGTGTTTCTGGGGATGGATGAAACCCAGAGCTTCTTGCACGCTAGGCAGACACTTAACCAACTGAGTTACACCATACCCCTTATTCTTAACTTTATCTCTGTCAGCCAGTTCTACGGCCTTTTCCTTCTGTGTTTCATACCTAAGCCAAACTGGTCTGAACTGCTTCTGACACTATGTAAACAGCCCAGTGCATAATCTAATGAGGGCGTGCAGGATACCCCACTCCACCCATCCCCCACCATCCACCGTCCACAGGGGTCCTCAGTCTGGTTAACTGTCTTTAGACTAACCACTGGCTTCCTTCTTGGCCTTGATTTCCCCAAGAGCACACAATGGCTTTACTCACACTCTGCAAACTTTCTGAAAGCTCAAAGGTAAACTTCTGCACCCGGCGCTGCCTCTTCTGAAAGAGGAGGGATCCCGGGTTGTTGCGGAGAGACAGCTCCTCTATCATCAGATCCTGAGGTACACTCAGCTTCTTCCCCAGGTCCAGCGAAGGGACTGTGGGAGAGGTCAGAGGGGGCTCTTACTGTCTGACCTCAAGGCAGCCCTGCCATTACTCCTGGGCAGCACCAAGCCTCACACTTGCCAGCACTGGGCATCATTGTTCTTTGGGTGTTTGCCATCTGCGGGCTAGAAGGCACCTCAGAGATCGGTGGGCACAGGCTCAATGATGCTCAATGGTGTTTCAGATGTTCTTGGCCATTTATACTTACTCCATTGATTTCCTTTGCACCTCTTTGTCTATATTAGTAGTGAGAAAGGATGAGACTCTAAGGTTTTTTGTTTTGATATGTTTTGTTGTTGTTTAAGGGAACCACAATAAGAAACAGTAAAAGAAAGGGAAGACTTGACCAGAGCCACTGGGAGGATGGAGCAGCCATTCACCAAGATGGAGGAGATGAAGGAGGAGATGAAGGAGGAGATGGTTGTGGGGAAGATGAGAATTTGGCTTGAGACACATTCTTTAAATTTTGCTGATTTAATTATATTTATTTGGGGTTTTGGAGACAGGATCTCACATAGCCCAGGCTGGCTTCAAACTTACTATTTAGGTGAGGATGACCTTGAACGCTGATCTTCACTGACCTCCATCTCTTGAGTGCTGACATTATAGACATATATACCAACAAATCCACCTTGGTTGTTTTAATTTTAAAAATTGTCTTTCAACATTATTAAAACAGCATAGGTTTTCAAGAAAGTTATAAAGTACAGATATGAGGAAAGAAAAATGCCACTGTCTCCCACCCAGAGATGTACGCCCCACCGTAAAACCCTTTCAATCACTATAGCAAAAGTGCTTTGTGACGTGATTTACCAAAGAGTTCCCTTTTTGCAAGTGAATACATTTGTGCTGTTGGGTCGTTTTGTCCACCTGACACAAAGGGGGTCATCAGGGAAGAGGGAACCTCAACAGAGAAAATTTCTACATTAGATCAGCCTGTAGGAAAATCTGTGGAACATTTTCTTGGTTGAGGTTGGAGGACCCAGCCCCCTGTGGGTGATCCCAACCCTGAGAAGGTGGCCCCGATGGTATAAGAAAGCAGTCTGAACAAGTCATGAAGAGCACGCCAGTAAATGACATTCCTCCATGAGTCTCCAGTTCCTGCCTCCACATTCCAGCCCTGATTTCCCTCTATGACAGACTCGGATCAAGACATATAAACAAATAAACATAAACTCTTCTCTCCCTGAGTTGCTTTGGGTCAGGGCATCTTTGTCACAGCAGTAGAAAGTAAACTAAGACATTTTTACTTTGCTTTTTATAGTTTTATTCAAACTCTCCCAATTATCTGAAAACTTGGGGATATTCTCAGAGGCTAATGAGAAAGGTCTGTGTTCAAGGCAGGCTGGGCTACATTGTAAGTGCCTGTAAAAGCAGCCAAACAACAGAAGCAGCAGCAAAGGCACCTTTTCAGTCTGAGGAGTCTTATAGACATTCAAGTGGAAATGACAAAGAGGGACTTGTCATAAACTTGGAAGGCTAATGTTAGTTCAAAGGAAATAAAAATCTAGAGATCAAAATCTGGGGCATCATGATCTTATAAGCAATGTTGTTGCCATTGTTTTCATTTTTCTTTCCCTTCTCTCCTTTTGTTTTTAGTAATTCTTCTATTTATTTAGTAAGTTATAAGGGGTGGGGCTATGTGCCATAGCACGGCTGTGGCAGCCAGAGAACAACGTCCAGGAGTCTTGCTCCACCATGTGGGTCCCAGGAACAGAATTCAGGTTGTCAGGCTTGGCAGCAAGTGTCCTTATCCACAGTCTTGTGTGGCCCAGGCTGTCCTTGAACTTGCTATGTAGCGAAGGATTACCAGGAGCAAGTATGCACCCTCAGGTCTGTCTCATGTTGGTTTTCAATGAAGAACTGAAATCAGTCATTAGAATCAGTCATTCATTAATCCACTTAGAGGATTTTTGGGGCCACTGACTATCCTTAAGTGTTTGGATCCCATCCCCATTGCCTGTGCCTCCCTGAGAGCAAAAGACATAAGTATATATTTAACCAACAAAGGAGGCCTCTTGGAAGACATGGTGATGGCATGCTAAGGATGATGGTGGGAAAGGATTCTATGCAGGCAGCTTAGCTAACATAGCCAGTCTTCAACATCTGATACAGGGTGGGGGTGTTGTTCAGTGGTAGAACACTTGCCCAGCATGTAGAACCCTGAGGCCAATCTCCTGCCGCACAGGAAACACACACACACACACACACGTACTACACACCTACACACAGAATAAAATCAGACATAGAGCCTCCTGTGTCAGGTGAATATAAATGACATTTTAAGCTGGGAAACTGGATGAGGTCAGGGAGAAAAGCAAAACAGATCCAGAGAGGCAACGACTTCGCCCAATTTTGGTGGAGTAGAAAAATGCCCTTGAAACCTGGGGTGCGGGACAGCAAGGAGGAACTGCAGAGAGGGCACACCTGGCAACCAAATCCTGAAAGACTTCAGAGACAGACAGCCCAAGGTATCAAACCAGATGAGACGTGAAGAGTGACCATCAGAGTTAACAAGTTGGGGTCATTGATGATCTCCCCTGGAGCAGTGACCATAGAGCATTTGGCTGTGAACGTGTGACTGGAGAGGACCCAAGAGAAAACTGACAGTGGAACAAGGGGGCAATGAGCCAGAAACAGGACGTAGGATGTTCGGGGAGGGCAGCTGTGCAGCTGTCTGGTTTCTTCAAACAAGAGAAAGAGATGGAAAAAGAAAGAAAAGGAGAGGGGCTGTTTTAGATTACATTTTAAAGAGACATGGCACAACCAAACAAGAAGCACGCGCCTTTGCTTGGGTCCTGATTAAAACTACAAATGGGGGCTGGAGAGATGGCCCGGCATTTAAGAACACTGACTGCTCTTGCAGAGGATCCCGGTTCAACTCCCGGCACCCTAAAGGTAGCTCACAACTGTCTGTAATTTCAGTTCCTGGGTGGTGGCTGGGGGCATCTAACGCCCTCTTCTGGCCATACAAGAACTGCATGAATGTGCTACTCACACACGCAGGCAAAAACCCACCAATGCACACAAAATACAAATAAATAAATCCTTTTTTAAAAACTTTTTTTGAGACAGCATTTTTTCTGTGTAGCCTTGACTGTTCTGAAACTCAATCTGTAGACCACACTTCGCCTAGAACTCCGAGTTCTGCCTGCCTCTGCCTCCCGAGTGCTGGGATTAAAGGCATGTGCCACCACCGTTCAGCTTTAAAACTTTAAAAAGTATTAAATTTAAGAAATCTAAATACAGACTAGGTCTTAGATGGCGCTACATCATTACTGCTGATTCTGTTCAATGTGTTAATTACTTTTTGTGACAAACAGGGAATGTCACTTTTCTTCCTCTGGTTGTAGGAACTGGAGATAGAGGAGGTGTCATGCTCTTCAGGGAAGTGTCACATACTTTTGCCTCCTAATGCTGCGTGTCCCCTCCTGTCTCTGCTCCTGATGCTGCATGGACCCTCCTGTCTCTGTCTCCCGATGCCACATAGACCCTCTTGTCTTTGCTCCTGATGCTGCATAGACCCTCCTGTCTCTGCTCCTGATGCCGCACGGATTCTCCTGTCTCTGCCTCCTGATGCTAGGGTTACAGGAACCTGCAGCCATGCTCAATGAATTTTACATGAATACTGGGGATTGGGACTCAGGTCTCCCTTCTTGCATGGAAGTACTTTTCACCCACTGAACCATACCCCTTGTCCCTATTGTCACTGTCAACAAGGAGTCAGACTACAGCCGAGCTATGTCCTCAGTCAGTCCTTCCGGTACACAAGAGCACCCCGACTCTTCTTTCAAGGATCTCACCCAAGACAAGCTTTGGGACCACCATGATGAACTGGTTGGATAAATATGACACATTGCAAACAATGCTGTGCTTTGGAAGCTGGCGGAGGGGACGCAGCAAGATAAATCATGAGAGGATGGAAAGAAACCTGTGATCTGCTGCTAAGGGAAAAAGAAAGACCCTGGAGAACATGGTCCATGTACATGTGCATATAAAAGTGGTGAACAGAAGAATCCACACCAGGATGCTGACAGTGGTTAGTCTATTCAAGTCGTTTCATTATGAAGAACTTTCAAACGCATTCATGTGCTATTTTGTTCGAATTGTTAAAAAACAAAACAAAACAATTATTTTTTGGGTGTTTTGCCTGAATGTATGTCTGCACCACATGCATACAATACCCACAGAGGTAGGAAGAAAGTGCCAGATGCCCTAGAATTGGCGTTATAAACAGTTATGAGCCCTCAAATGGATTCTGGGAACTGAACCCCAGTCCTCTGGAAGAACTGACAGTGCTTTTAACCAATTGAGCATTTCTCTGGCCACTTGTCTGGATATTTTAACTGGGTGTGTTATTTACAAAACCACAATAGAAGCAGCAGATCTGGGGACAGAGAGACCAACAGTCAAATCTCAGCTTTGCTACCTACCAACCAGGACCACCTGGCCCCTCTGAGCCCTGCTTCTGTTTTTGAAGAGCTGGAATGATAATATGCAACTTCGGGCTGTTGTGATGCTTAGGTACCTTAATACATAAAAGCTTCTAGCACAGTGTCTATCCCATAGCATCCAGAAATAGTGATAAGTGCTTTGATTGCTATTGCTTTTTTTGAGGGGTAGGGTTGAGACAGGGTTTCCTTGTGTAGCCCTGGCTGCCTTGGAACTTGCTCTGTAGACCAGGCTGGCCTCGAACTCGGAATTCTGCCTGCACTGCCTCCCAAGTGCTGGAATTAACGAGGTATTCCACCACTGCCCAGTGATTGCTATTGCTTTTCAATGGCTGCTTTAACTTGAAAATGGCATTAGTGTCTGTGATGGTTTCATGTTCACTATTTAAATCCCTGATCCCTAGTTGGTGGCACTGTGTAGGGTGACTATGAAAACGTGAGGAGACGGGGCCTGCTGAAGGACTGTGTCACCTGAGGGCTGACTGTGAGAGAGCGTAGCATCACCCTACTTCCTGTGCTTTCTCTGTTTGCTTGTGGTCGAAGATGTGCTCTCTGAGCTTCCTGCTCCTGCTGCCTGCTGCTGTAGCCTCCCATCCATTGTGGATTCTCCCTCTGGAGCTGTAAGTCCCAACAAACTCTTCCTTCTGCAAGCTGCCTTTGTCACTGGTTCTCATTATAGCAACAAAAGATAGCTAATACATGTCACAGCAATAATCATGTCTGGTATAAATTACGTGTGTTGATAGTTGGGGGGTCTGTCATTAATGACAGGGACAAGAGACATAGAATTCAGCTGCATGACTCCTCCAGTTTAAGCATCAATACTTCACAGTTTGCATAAACAAGCACGCAAAGTCATGGAGGGTGTGTCTGGGGGTGTGAGTCAATGTTACACTACATGCTTTTCTAGCATACATGAAGCCCTAAGTTTGATCTTCAGCATCCAAAAAGGGGGGGGGAGAATCCCATGACAACAAAAAGAGACAAGAACACACAAGGTAGGTTAAAAGACTAACTCACATATAAAGCCGTACAAGGCAGAGGTTACAGTTCAGTGGTTCGTGTTTGCGTAAATGTACTAACTAGGCTCTGAGTTTGATTCCCAGTGCCACATAAAGCCAGCCTGGAGGCTGGAAAGATGACTCATTGAGTAAGAGCATGTATAAACATGAGGCTCTGAGTTCAAATCCCAGTACTTGTATGAGAAGCTGCACTCCTTAGACCCCAGCACCGCTAGAGGACAGAGACCAAGGGTCCTGGGCCTGGTAGCTAGTCAGTCTAGCTCCAGGCTCAGTGGGAGACCCTGGGTCAAAGGAATAAGGTTGAAAACGATAGAACAGGATAACCAACGTCTTCTCCTGGCTTCTTTGCGCATATGTGTGTGCACACATACACACACATGCGTACACATACACACACACGCATACACATACACACACATCCACATCCACACACACATCCACATACACACACACATCCACATACCCACTTATCTACCTGCTCCTGCCCACCCCTACCACATTGCACATTGTCAGCAATATATATCAAGTTTGAGACCATCCTGAGATATATGGGACCCTGTCTCAAAAAAATTATTTCTAAAAATAAATTGTAAGTCACACGATACAAGTGTTGAATCTGGCAGTCTCTGACCAAGACTGAGCAGCAAAGGAGCTCGGTAGCATTTATCAGAGTGTCTCTGTTGCCAAGTACGTGCCAGTCACCTGGGCATTAGTCCAAAAGACAACAGTGTGGGCCCTGCGCCAACTGCACCAAACCATCGTCCCAGGAGATGATGCTGTGGGTCTGGATTTTAATCAGCAACACAGAGCCACTGAGGTCACACAAAAGCTTGAAACTCCCCACTAAATTGAAATAATTTTTAGACTATTTGAAGTGCTCTAATAAATTCCACGCTTATAATGGGACTTCTCAAAGCAGCCTTGTAAAATTGCCAAGCATGGATCTTAGGTGACTTGTTCATAAAGTCGAGGCACGTCTTAGTAGAATGGTTTGCGGCCAGCTGAGCCACCTTCCCTTCAGTCTCCCCGTACCCCAACACACATGAAATGGAACTGGACTACCTGTCCTGTCCCCAGGCTTCAGTGAGACCCACAGCTGGGCTGAATCTGGAACCAGAAGGAGTCCTTAGAGCTCAGTTTGACCTCAGAGAGGGCTGGGAACAGGGTGATCTTGGAACCAAGGATGCGGTTTGGGTTACTCAGCTGTTGTGGAGAAGGGTGAGTTCCCACAAAAGCCTCAGAAAGCATCCTAGCCTGGGAGCATACTCCAGAGATGCCTCTAGAGACTGCTGTGGGACCCTCACTTGCTCGCCAGTCCTGAGACCAGCAGGCCTGAATGGCCATAACCTGAGGTCAAGGGGAGTCTGCGGAACATAGAGGGCTGGATCTACCTTACCTGGCTCAGCAAGATCTCCTGTGACAGCCATCGCTGGCTCCTTCTGTTCCTTGGGGATCATCCTGTGGAGGAGAAACTCCCACAAATGGCCCAGGAAGCTTCCTTTTCTCCCCAAACCTCTTTTCAGTCCTTGTCGCCCAGCCCCAGCCCTGAGCTGACCATAGTCACAAGCAAAGGCTAGAGGGGTTGAAGGGCATTTGAGGTCTGTATAAGAAGGAGAAGACTGTGGGCTTAAGAGGTCACACAATCAGAGGCCAGTGTTCTAGGAAATCACTCTCTTTAAGGGCTTCTCCCTAGGGTCCTGTCCCCAGGCCTGGGGCTTCGGGGGTGGGGAAAGTAGGGCATCAGGCTCTGTTGTCATCATGACCTAAGAGCTCTAACTGGAGGCTGGAAGAGGTTGGGGCATCATGAATCAAATCAGGGCTACCCTGGGGGGTACATGCTGGTACTTGGTCCTGAGACTAGCCCAACAATATAGGCAAAACCATCACATCCTCCCCTGTCTCTACACCTTTGAGCTACTTCTATGGCAACAGAGTTATCTTTGGTAAATGCCAGTATAACCACCTGATTACCAGCTCCCCCTCTAGAGCCCCCTTTCACATTCCCCTTTCAGAAATCTGGCCCCTGCCCACCTGTCCTAACTCAGTTCCGAGCACCACCTCAAGGCCCCAGCCCTCAGCTGTCCCTACCTGGCATCTTGTCTCTTACTCTTCCTTCATCCCTCTCTTGCTTTCCAGGAATCTTGGAGCTGATTCACAAATACAAGCCCCAGAGAACCTGTGTGAGTTCCCAACCCATTTTCCCTAACATGGGTCAGGAAAGGAAACCCAACCTTGAGTCCCTCATCCCCGCCTGACCCTGTGTACCCCTCTCCTTGGCTCCCAGATCTTTCCGTGCTCCATCTGTGTTCCCATACACAACAGGACCCTGGACACTGACCGAGCTAAGTCCAGTAGGCTCCCCTGACTTTCTCTGCATGTATGACCAAGTAATAAACAAGTAATCCACTAGCTCTGTGCCTCAGTTTCTCCTTTGTAATTTAACAGCACGGATTAGACTAAACCACAAGAATGGGTTTCAGGGTTATCCATGGACCTTTAAAACCAAATCCAAACCTGAGCATGTCTGCACACAGTTGAGGGTCACGAGATAATTGACAAGCGCCAACTATGACTTATCTGAGTTAGAACACCATAGTTCTCAGATCTGTTCCCAGATAAACATTCACAGGATCTGAGCAGGGTCCCCCGTTTACAGTCAGGGAGTTGTCTCTCTGCAGGCCTACGATCCTGAAGACCGAGCAAAACTACTACCTCTGCTCACCTTTAACCCCAGTCTTCCCATTTGATGTCCAGGACCCTGGAGCTTATAATTCCCTTCCTCCTAATGCAGACCCTGGACTTCTGTGAGGCCCAACCACCGCCCCCCCACCCAGATCACCTACAAGGCCCTGAAAATTACCTCATCTCCTCTGCCCACTCCCCCTAGGTCCCAAGAGCTCCCTGGAAGATGAGAGGATGATGCCTGTACCTGGTGGGGCCACAGTAGGTGGGAAGGAATGTCAGACCCTTAAGATTAACACCTCCGTCGGGGAGCTGGAGTTGTGTGGTCAGTGTCTAATGCAGTCTCCCTGGTCAGCGGTCAGTGAGCAGGGTGTGTCCTACAGCCAGTGCTTCAGCTGACAAGAATCACTCTTGCCTTCTCCGTGGGTCAGCCTTATTTCGGGCTGCAACAGGAGCCGGGGCCAGATGCGAAAAGCACTGGGCTCTGGGGAAGACAGGTGTCCCGGCAGCAGGCCCTTGCAAACAGAAGGGCTTGCACCCCCCTGGCGCGGTCACATTAGAACTCTGGGGATTGGCTGCCTTCGCTGAAGCTTGGTAACGGCTGTATCCCTAGTGTCTAGAGTAATGCCTAATAGAAATTCAACAAATGTTCGCTGCCTAAATGAAGTATGGATGGGCGGAGGAGTAAGTGAACGAATTCCCCAATATCTTTTCTTGACTTTTCCTTTCTCCCTCCCTCCCTCCCCTCTTTTCCTCCCTCCTTTCCCTCCCTCTTTCCATCTCTCCTTTCCTCCCTCTTGCTTGTCTTCCCTCCCTTTCTCTTTCTCATCCTCCCTACTGTCTTCTCATATTCTCTGAGTCTCTATCCGTGGACTAAAAATAAATATGCCCGGACTCTATCTCCAAGGAGCTCAGCTAGCCCAGACTTGACCGGTAAAACAGCCTTTGTGCTATCGTCTCTCCAGCGTTGCTCTGAAAGAGCTCAAGGAGCAGAGAACATGGTGCCAGCTCAGTGTGAAGCCTAGGAAGTCCTCCCAGAGGAAGACGCATTGGCACTGGATCTTGGAGGATGCAGGATTTGTGGGAGTCCACCAGGCAGAGGTGACCTGCAGGTGGAGGACAGATCTCTTGCAAAGACTCTGGAGGGCTTGGCAAATAGGAGCTGAGGGTAGTGCTGGGAGTTGAGGCCAGACAGGTGGGAAGAGGCCAGATTTCCAAAGGGAACTTGTGTTGCAAAGGGCTGATAAAGAGATTAAGCTGGCAGAAGGTGGTGGTCAAATTGACATTTTCCAGCGACAGCTGCTGTACACATACAGGGTTGAAAGGGGCCAGGCTAGAGGCAGGGAGATTGTGTGGTAGCCAAGAGAGAGATGGAGGGTAACTGACGTATGGGTGGAGACAGAAGCAGTGGGGAGGAGGAGAGGTTATTGAAGAGCACTTGAATAATGCCCACATCTTGGAGATGGTCTGGAAATGTGAGGTGTGGGAAGGAAGGAGCAGGTGGGGGTGAGGTTGGATGGTGAGCTCATTCCATCAAGGATGAATTAGCTTAAGGTACTGAGTGCTGGACAGCAGGCGGTTAGATACTGACTGCTCTCAGGACAGGTTCCAGCAGAAGTTACGACTTGTGAAAGGCACACAAGTCGATCCCAGGGAAGGGTGGGCACACAACAGAGTGGTGAGCACCTGAGTCCATCAGTGCAGATGGCCCCAGTGGCCTTTCTGACACCCATGTAGGGCAGCATCCTGGGCTCTGCTCTGAATGCAGCTTTCTGCCCCTTGGGTTTCTGGGTCCAGTCTCTGCTGGGCCTGAATCTAGAGGCAGAGCTAAGGGATGGCCTCATCTAAAAGTAGGAACACAATCACTCTTTCTGAACCAAGGTTGGCCCATGGAAACTGGGTCCCTGATGACCCTGCTCTCACTACAGTTGCCTAAACTCACATGGAACCTCCCCTGGAGACTCTTGTCCCCAACCTGGAATCCTGAGTTCAATGAAGAAGTAGTAGCAGAGCGCTGGAGCCTGCCCCAAATTGGCTCTGCCCACTATGGCCACAGCATTCTGTAGCAGCACCACTCCGAGACACTACTTAGATCAACTCTCCCCTCACTCAAATGGGGAAACCGAGACATGGGGAGGGGGTGGTATACTCAGATCCACCTAGCTAATCAATGACAGAATCTAGGCTTCAATTCAAGGACGCCTGTGATCCCAGGTTTTTCCAGCTGTTCTTATGGTTTCCAAAATCCAAGACCATGTGGCTCAGATATTCTGTGGACTGGTGTATGCTTGGGAAGAAGAAAAAGGCTTCCTGAAAGGCAAAAATGACACAGGAGGCAGAAGAATGCAGAAAGCATTTATTGCTCTGAATTCTACAAGAGGCATGAGGCAGGATACAGGCAAGCTCTAGTGTGTTAGAGACCATAAGGGAGAAGGCAGTCACCATGGCAGAACAGCAGTAACAGAACTGCAGTTTCTCAAAGCTGCCTCCTGTTGGTTGTCTGAGGAAATGCAGGTAGAAGCTGATCTATGCCACAGCATCAGCTGGATGTCTAATAGTGTCTTCTCTGGGACTCCTTAGCTACAAAGGATGCTGCAGCAGGTAGGAGCTTTGGTAAATGTATTCATTTATTGACTGAACTGAGTGCTCTCTCATCTTCCCAGTGGAGACAGGTTCCCAACCATGGGCATTACGAACCTCTCCTTTATCCCAATATACTCCATCTCAACTTTGACTTTATTCCACCCTGATCCCTAGCTTCCTCTAGGGAGTTCTAGATCACCCTGATGTGTGGGTAAATCTACTAATTACTCCAAATCCCATCATCCCTTGCCTTTAACAACATCCTCCTGTTTTGTTTCACCTACGTATATTTGCACCTCATTGAACTACAGCACCTGAACCTCCAGGTTCTAAATTCTGAAGCTGATATTTTGAACCTCAACAGGTATCATCAGCCAACGATGAAAACCACAAAACTCAGCCACATCCTTCCCAGTGTCATTCTTGGGGACTGGAATCAGAGCCACTGAAGTTTAGGGGACCAGCTCCTCAAGGCCACTGGGTATAGGCACGAGCTAGGCCAGAGTGAGATGTGAAGAAAATGAATATAGCAGTGCCCACTCTTCTGGGCCGAGGCCTGAAAGTGAAGGGAGGAGGCGTTTACTTAGTGGCCAGAAACACAGACCCATACTGGTATGACCCCTTGACTTCCCACCCAGGTTTATTGTCTCTGAATTCAAACCTCGTGATCCTCCACCCTCACCCTCCCTTTCTAATACTATGGGATGTGTTTCAGGATGAGAACCCTCAGAAATCAGGAGTCACCTCCCCCCAATACCTGAGTCCCCTCTATGCATCCTGGCCATGGCTTACATAATATGCAATGAGGACCTCTTTCCAATTAGGTAAGGCCAGGTGGGGGGCAGCCATGTAAGGCTCTCTTCTCTCCTCAGCTTTGAAAAACACCAGATTTCCCACGACCAGGCCCAGAAGGGCAGAGGTCTGGGGCTCCTGAGACCCATAGCCCCAGAGAACCCAGCACTTCACACATTGTTCCGCCCTGGCCATAGGGAGACCCCGGACACCCTGCGCTGGGGCAACAAAGGCAGCAGGGCAGAATCTGGGGAGACTCTTCCAGCTCCTTCTCCCCAGAGGGGCCCAGCAGGGCACCTTGAGCTTGCCTGGGAGATCTCGCTAAAGGTCACCAGATAAAAATAGGGCTAGTCTGAGAAGGGATGGAAAACAGTTGCTCCTGCCTAGAACTTGGTGCCAGGAGCCGGTGGTCAAGCCAGGGCCTGGGCATGGGTCATGGCCTAGGTCCTTTTCAACACCATACTTTGGCAGGCTGCTGGAGAACGGAGTGAAGGAGGAGCACGCTGCAAGCCCAAGGGTGGGGGGCATGGCTGCCTTCTCCAGGGCACGAGTGTGTGAATAGAAGGGGAAAATGTCTGGAGACTGCAGCAGCCAGAGCTGAGGGTCAGAGATGGGAGGCTCTCACTCAGGGTCACACAAAGGAATGGCAGAACCAAGGGCTAGAACCCAAGTTTGAGTGACTAGCCACCTGGCCCCCAGGCCCAGAGCTCTCCTTCTCTGACCCTACTCTGGAGCTGTCCAATGAGGTCAGACCCTTTGGGGTCCCGGTGCTGGGGTCCCCCAAGCTTGGTGCCTCTTTGGGCTCAGCCCTTCCAGGGTGGGAAACTTTAGGTGGTGCAGGAGGCCTCGGTGGGGAGACTACCACGCTTGAACCTCAGGCTGCCATTCCAGCCTCGAGGACAGATGTTGTAGCCGAGGATGCCAGGCGACTTTAGCCCGGAGTCCTCAGAGTCGAGGGACACGTCGGAGTCTGTGGGCGAGCGGCGGTAGGGAAAAGGCCTGGACGGAGTGGCCTGAGGACTCTGGGGACTAGCGCAGGACGGAGGCCCGACCGGCAGCGGGCTCCGCGGGATGGGGGCGAAGGCGGCTCCGCGGAAGGCGCCTGCGGGGCGAGCCGGCTGCGGAGAGCGCATGCGCGGCGGCGCCCCCCGCGGCGGGGAAAAGGGCCGCAGGGGCTCGGCGGCCGCTGGCCGCGGGGAGGCGCTCTTGCGCCGGGCCGCGTTGATGATGTTGCGCGCCAGAAGCGCCTGCAGCTGGCGGCTCGGGGGCCGCGCTTCGGCCTCCGGTCGCAGCGGGGAGACCGAGCGCTCGCTCCACGAGGGGGACATTGGCGGTGGCGGCGGCAGCGGCGGGGGGCTGCTCATGCTGCTCCGGTGACCCGGCTCCCACGGCCCCGGGCTCACCCAGCCGTCCAGGCTGCTAGGGGGCCGGGAAGCGCCCGGCGTCCAGGGCGGGGACGTGGGCAGGCTCTCGGGGCGGTCCTGGGGAGAGAGCAGAGAGGGTTTGGGGAAGGTTTAGTGCCAGGTCCTCCAGAGTCAGAGTCGAGTATGGTTGTCCATCATTCGGAGATTGGAAAGGTACCCAACAAAGCCAGGTAGTAGTGCCTGAAGTAAAAACACAGTTGGTTCAACTCAATGCAGAAGTTTTAAAAGCCTTTGCTATCTGGGGTCAGCCCCTCCTTGATTTGGACACAGGTTCCCTCACTTGGTGGAAGGGAATGGGCAAGCAATCGTCCAGCCCTTTAGCCTTCCGCTTCCTCCTCTCTATAATGGGGTGTCCAGGAAGTCGCGAGGAAAGAACAGCTCATGTGAAGGGACGTTGCATGCATTAGCACGTTCCTCGGAGGGAACTACTAAACAGAAACCACCGTAAGTAGAGATGGAAAGACACAGCAGGCTAAGGAATGGGGTTGGTAGGCACAATGCACACAGTCACAGGGGGTGAGGACAAGTCCTTTTAAATGACTATAGTCTATGTATGTTTAGTTTTGAACCATACGGTTGTTTTAGCTACTCAAAAAATATAACTACCGCTATTAAGATTGGACCTCATGAATCCTTTCATGAGTAGATCCTTTCAGCCCTTATGTTTCAAAGTTCACTTCATTTTCTTGGGGGCCCAGTAGGAGTAAATTCCTACTGGCGGGCAGAGACACAGCTGAGCGGTTCCACTCATCTCTGGACAGCGCT